AGTCAGTTTGTGTCTCATCCCTTACTTCCACATTATCAGGCTGCCATTAAGGTTCTGAGATATTTGAAGAGTTTTCCTACCAAAGGCATTTTGTTCTCTTCTAATAGTACTCTTAAAGTGTATGGTTTTGCTGATTCTGACTGGGCACGATGTCCAGATACGCGCAGGTCAACAACTGGTTTTTGTGTTCTTCTAGGTACTTCTCTCATTTGCTGGAAGTCCAAGAAACAGAACACGGTGTCACGTTCTTCAACTGAAGCAGAGTACTGTGCCCTAGCATCCTTGACTTGTGAGCTTCAGTGGCTTCAGTATTTGTTCAAAGATCTCACCATCACTTTGTCTCAGCCTGCCTCAGTCTATTGTGACAGTAAGTCCGCTATCTACTTGGCTCACAATCCTGCATTTCATGAGCATAGTAAACACATAGAACTTGACTGCCATGTTATACGTGAGAAGATTCAGTCCAAGCTCTTGCACCTTTTGCCTATTTCTACAGTGGATCAGCTCGCTGACATGTTTACTAAGCCATTACATTCTCCAGCTTTGACCTCTATTTTGTCCAAGTTGGGTCTATGCAGTATCCATAGTCCAACTTGAGGGGGCCTCTTAGCTTATAATAGAATAGATCATTAAGTTTTCTATTTTGTTATTATCTTGATTCAATGGTTGTTATTTAATCTAGGCTTATGTATATATTATGCAATGGCCACTTGTACAGATTTAATTTCATTCAATGTAACAGTGATAACTTTACTCTTTCCTTGCCTTATCATTTTCTGTTAGAATACAGTTAGAAGTTTGTTGCTTCTGTCTTCCTCCAATGAAGTTTTTCACCATTCTTGATAATTAAGTATTTAAGTTCTAGTAGGAAATAAATTATCATTAAAGATGAATCGTTCGAATACTATTCAAATTAATCGTTTCTCTAAATTATAAAATCAGATTAATCTATTTATTATATAAATTGAAATTAATTGGCTAAAAAAATAGAAAAAGAAAAATATACATTAAAAATGTAATATATATATATATATATATATATATATATATATATATATATATATATATATATATATATATATATATATATATATATATATATATATATATATATATATATATATATATATATATATATATATATATATATATATATATATATATATATATATATATATATATATATATATATATATATATATATATTAAATTAATAGGTCAGCCTTCATAGGTAAAATGAACTATTATAAAATTTTAATCTAAAATAATTTTTTAAATATATAAAACTTTTATAGTTGTTATTCTCTACGTTCTAAAATAAGTGTCACATTTGAAAAAAAAATTATTTTAAAACACTTGTCACTTTAAATTATTAATACACTTTTATATTTAATCTTCTAATTATACTTTTTAATAAATACTATTAATTTATTGTTTTCTTACCTAACATACTAATTTGAATACATCAATAATTAATTAGGATAATTTAATAAAGTAATTATTTTCTCTTATTTATTACTCCATTCGTTTCTTTTTAAGTGTCATTTTAGCAGAAAACTCTTCAATCAAGATAGTGGATTATTAAAGTTATTTTTCCTATTATACCCTCATTTATTTTCTCTTTTGAAATAAATTCAATCATATATCATCTCTCTTTTTCAAATAACTAATTGAGAAAATAATTAATTTTATAGAAAATGTGAAGTGGAGTTATTGAGAAAGTAAAAATATAATTGACAAATGATAACATTAAACTATAAAAATGACACTTAAATAGAAACAAAAAAATTCTTTTAAAACGACACTTAAAAAGAAACAAAGGAAATACTATTTTTTTATCAATATAAAATGTTCAATTGTGATAAATAATATAGAACATATGACTAATATTTAACAGCAACCCGTGTTATTACTATTAATAGCTTTTTTTAGTAGAAAATTTGGCATTACCAAATATCAAAAAATATGACACGAGAGCATGACACGATGGGCAAATTTGTTATTTCACATTTGAAATATAAATTTGATCAACTAATTAATAACACAAATAAATTCGAGTACAAAATAGTCAAACCTAAGCAAGCAAAATGTAGTTTGCAAGATTTGAGGACAAACTTGGAGGCTTATATATATAAAAGCATAGAAAGTAGCAACTCATTATATATCTTACGTAAGTTGATAAACAAACACAAAAACCATGAGCTACTTTCACGCCAACAACGTTCTTGTGATATTGTTTTTCCTCCCTTTATTATCATTGCTTAATAACATTGTGGTTGGATTTCCATTATCATCAGAAATTGAAGAAGATGATCACTCTTTGTTGGATTTATTATCTAGCAGAAAAGAAGTGGTGGAAACTGCTGGCTATGGAGAAGAGAAGCTTTCAACTGTTCTTATTACTGGCTCACTTCATTGTGAACATAATCATCATCTTCATCATCATCCACATGCATGGCCAATACCAGGTACATACATATCTTGAATTAATTCTATTTAACTAACAAGTTTAATGTTTACTTTTAATATTCTATACATATATTTCACAAGTGATTTCAAGATTATTAGTATCACATCAATATAAATGTTTATCATAATTATGTACGTATATATTGTTTTTGTTGTTCCATTGTTTGGTGACATTAGCTTGCTTTCACATTTAGGTGAAATTTCTATTTCGGAAAACAATAAAAGTTGTTTGAAATTTACTACTAAATGGCATTGAATATTATTGATAAGCTGTCGTTCTTGATAAATAAAAATTGACAATGATTTTTAACCTTCCTGTCGATGCATGGTAAGTAGGGGGAAGCAAATAAAAAGTAGTAAGTCACATTATGTAATGAAATATTTATTACTATAAGAACTAACTAAACACCACACAAAAACGTATAATTGCAATTTTGTGTTAATTTATTTTATGATGTGGAGAATTTTTTCAGTTGACAGCAACAATGTTTAGTCACCCTACATTGGTGAACCACCACATATACATAACCCTCAAATAAGAGAAATAAAAAAATCTTGAAATTGTCAATCGCCAATCATTTAATTAGGAATGTACTTCATATTTAAATATTTTAAATTAATCGTTTAATGTCAGGGATGAGATTGTTGCCTTGAATGTAAAATAAAATTAGATAGGATAAGATTAGAAATGTAAAAGTTAGAGAAAGTGTTGTGTGGTTTGGACATAAAGATAAAAGATATATGAATTCAGTAGTAAGAAGAGTGAGTATATTGGACAGAGAGAAGTTAAACAATTGAAAGAAAAAGACTTAAAAATAAGAAAAATTATTTAAAAGAATATAAAAACTAACGATTTGAATAAAAATATAATTCTTAATAAAATATTATGACAAAATTCGATACATATTAAAATAAAGTTTAATTGTTGTTGTAATCTTTCACATTAAAATTTTCGATTTAAAAATTAATTGTTAAATCAATTATATAATTTTCAAAAGTGCTTAAGGATAAATTTGATCATATTTAACTTTAAGGTTTAATTTGAAAGAGGATATAGTCTACAAATAGACTTCAAAAATAGCCGGTGAAATTTTTAGGTTTTGTTTAGGTGTTTAGTTTGAAGAAGAAGAGAGAGAGAAAAAAGGAAATGATAGAGTGAAAAGAATTTAAAAAAAAATTATTTTGACGGTTTTGAAAGCTACACAAAATCTATAATTTGGGGTATCTAAGAAATTGTATTGGAGTTGAGGTTTAAAGAGTTTTGAAGGACTCAGATAAATTGTTCAAATATAATTTATGTTGTTGTATTTTAAAAATTAAAAATATGACAATAATAAATATTATTTTATCATTCTAAATAAAACCAAAAAAAATGTTTAAAGAAATTTCTATAATTTTTTTAAAAATCATTTTTCAAAGTCCGTGTTAAAGAAATTTCTATAATTTTTAAAAAAATCATTTTTCAAACTCCAAACTCAGAAACAAAGCCTTAGGACTCTTTCAGGATATATTTTATTTCAAGGACTAGTATGATAACATTCTACAATTTTAGATATCAAATTGGAGATTCAATCACATAAATAGTCTTTTTATCACATCATATTACTATGCTATATTTCATTGTTTCTAAATTTTAAATGAAAAAGAGAGAATTCAAATCCATTTCTAAATGAAGCCCTTGAATATTTTCAACATTTTCCAAAAGAACATGTGAGTTTTCATCTACATGCAAATTTGGCTAATTTAAGATAAACTAGTGCAGGAGCTTTGGTTGCTGTTAACTGCCAAAGCCATGGCAGTGAAAGAAAAGGAAAATCAATGGTAGGAAAAGGTGTAACTGATGAATTTGGAGATTTTATGGTGGACCTCCCATCCTATCTTCATGCTATTCCCAACTTGGAAAAAGTATGCAGGGTGAAAGTTCATAATATTCCAAAAGGGTCACTTTGCAGACCAACTCGTCGTGTAAAAAAACAAAACGGACAGTTTAAGCTCTCTTCCATTGGGAATGGCATCCGCGCCTATGATGCTGGAAACATAAGGATCCAACATTCAACTTCTGAGCCACGGCGTGCACCACCACGCAAAGACATCAAGGAAATTAAGGAGTGGGTTTGAAACCATTTCATCAAAATGAGTATGTTTGTAAGAGCACCATGACTCACTTGGAAGGCGCTTAAGTCGCAGTATTGGGTTGCATGGGTTTACATTTCGTAAAGTACATAATACAATTACAATATAGTGTATACAACAGACATTGCTTTGTAAACAATTGCAGTGATTCAAATTTGAGAGCTGCTTGTGTAAGATTGTTAAATTTATGAATTGTGTGAAACAACCTCTAGTATTTGTTCATATGAAAAATTAAGAATGGTCCTCAAACTGTTCAACTAAGAATAACAGCAAAAACATCTTTTTGTCCATTTCAATCAAGCTGACTTGACAGAGATCCATACGGCTAAACCATAAAAACATCTTTGTATGCCAAAATCAAAGAATAAAAGCAAAACAATTGAGAAGTCAGGGCTTGCCTAAAGTTTTTGATCAGCTTCAGAGGCTATGTATTTTGCAACATCCTTGCAGCAAGTAAGCTTATCCGCTTTCTCATCAGGAATCTCTAGGGAAAATTCTTCTTCAAGAGCCATAATAAGCTCAGCCCTATCCAAGCTGTCCAGGCTCAAGTCCTTTTGAAAATCAGCTGTTTCAGTAACCTGCATAAAAGTATCCTACCAATTTTTAGTTTACACATTTGAATATGGAAATAGAATCACAGACTGTGGAACACTAATAAAAATAGCAAACTGCTTATTGACTATTACTTGATACCTTTTCTGCATCAATTCTATCATACTTCTTGACCAGTCTGATTACTTGGCCCAAAATCGGATCAGAGCTGGCACCTGTTGAAGAACACCAGCCTCTCAAATGCATAAGCACGTTAATATCCTTGGCCAAAAACCATCTTTCAGTTGACCTTCTCAAATTCACATGACTCAGTATTGATTTCTTCATGCTTTGCATATTTGAGAAATCTGCAAATGATACAAGTACTATTTCAAAGTGGCACTAGCTTGTTAATTTGAAATCAATTGAGTAGAAGTGAAAATAATGTAGGTTTTTTCTTCGTTTCCCCCAATAAAAACAGTGCATGGATGTTTACATACAATCAGATACAAAATGATTGAAGCAAAATAATATGAAGCGTGTAAGCTTTGGATTGAACAAAAATAACAAAATCTTAAGTGCTCTTCATATGAATGAAATATGCAAGCAAATTCAATAAAATAAAAGTCATAGGAATAGAACTTGACTATTCAACAAAAATTATGAATTTAAGCTAGTCTCAGTTATGAGCAGTAAGTATGCTACTGCTAGTGCTAGCCCAATTTGTGATCACTAGAAAGTAGAAATGTCTGATACACATGTTTTACTTTATGATCTCTTGTCAAACAAGACATCACCTTTAAAAAACTATGAAGGATTTGAGTCAAAAAGACTCGTGTTCCTTGACATCTGAAATTGTACTACATTCGATCAAAGAAAACAAGACACTTGTAAAAAGAGAAAATAATCATTGACCATTACAGAGGTAACTAATCGGAATACAACCAGCAAATCACAAGATACAAATAACTAGCAGATCCGGTCATTTTCGTTAACGGTTGTTTTAAGTCATGTCATGATATGTATATCACAAATCAGATTCCTTGCAGTCAATAATTCACACATTCATTGCAGCCAGAAAAACTGTTGAGTGAAGATCAAATAATTCACATTCCGATTTCCAACATATTGTTTTGAATCCAATTTGTCTGAAGTAAGAATACGAGTTTCCCAATCTTCACTCAATGGTTCTGATTTACTTACAATATAAATAGTAAGTGGGTGAAACACGAGGACAACGGTGTCAGTCGACAACTGAAAACACATTTCTTCACAATTTCAAATACACTTCAATGGATGTGCACTCTGGTTATGCTCTCATGCATCATATGTACCTATGATTTGCTTACCTCAGGGTACTATACAGTCAATGTATTAAGCACTGGCATAAGCACTTATTTCTATTTAGATTGTCTTATTTGAGTTTATCCACTAGTAGTCAATGTATTAAGCATTGGCATAAGCACTTATTTCTATTTAGATTGTCTTATTTGACTTTATCCAACAGTACATTTCAAAATGATAGGAAAAGGGTGACGGTGCCAGCTTAGTTTGGTTCAGCTAAAAAAAGGTTTATCTGCTGACATAAGCATTTATGAAACTGTTTGGGAGAGCTTATTTTCAATTGATTTTCATAAGCTCTCCAGGATAACTTATGAAAATGGCTTTTACAGATTAGTTTATATGTAAACACATTCACATTATTGAATCCTTTAATAGCTTACACACAAGAACTAATATGATAAGCATTTAATCAAGGGCATGTTTGAATGTGCTTATTTGAGCTTAATCAAAACAACTTACGACATTTTTCATTAATTTTTTTGAACTTATTTTTACAAAATTTTCAAAATAGCTAATGAAAACAACTTATAACATATATATAAAAACAATATAAATTTATTTTATCTTTTGATATGAAAATAACATATGCAAGCTTATTCAAAAGCACTTATTTTGATAAGCATTTGTGTTATAGGCTGCAAATAAGCTGTTTATACAAACATGCCCTAAGTGGTTTATCCAACTATTGTAGTATGCAATGGGATTATACATTCTTGATTAAAATCGATTCTAAACAAGTCTAGAACTATGTAGCACAAAAAAAGGTGTGTCTGTCGAATCCATGCACCAACACCGATACTTGTGATTAGATTTAATTCATGTATATTTTTAAATTACCATGTCACTGTCGTACTCGAGGTGTTCGTGCTTTATAGGTATAAAATGTGATGGCAGTGTCAATTTAGCATAATCATTAATCAGCAAAGTCCTACTCATACTTACTGGCAACAAGAGCAAAACCAGGAATCTAAAACCAAATGGAAAAAGCAAAACCCAAAACCAGAAGAGCTATACACTAAAAGTAGCAAGCACAAAACAATAACAAGACATAAAGAAAGCAATAAGCACTCACGAAGTGAATGATCGAGATTCGTTCCGATAAAGCGACGAAATTGGACTTGTCGGCTACGTGTTTGATGTTTTGCCTAACAGAAAGACTCAAACGTTTCTTCACCAAATTGAAATCTCTTTCTTTCTGTGTTATTGTGAGTTGTGATTTCTTAATCTTTTCTTTCTTTAAGTGTCGTTCTACATGGAAATGGAAAGGACGTTTAGGCATTTAGCCCAATATGGCAACAATCATTGAAATATGGACCCACTTGATTGGGCTCATTTTGATTGTGGATCCAGGAAGGGTAAGGATTATCTACCTTTATGAAAGAAAATGTAGAGTGACTTTAGGCAAAAATAAGAGTAAGATAAATGAGAGATGATATTTATTTTGGAGGGAAAAAGATGTGACAGAAATTAAATCATGAGAGAGAGAGATAGAAAGTTAGAGAAAGGTAGAGAATTGAAAAGTAAAGGATCCAATTTCATCTAGGAATGACCCGTCTATTATTCTCTCCCTTATTTGAATGTTCACCATATCTATTCTTTTCCATTTCTATCTATTTTTTGAAAATTTGTTATACAAATTAAAACCATTCTTGATCTTATCGGAATCAGAAGGATCTTTAGTGGCCTGTAACACTTGAACTTCTATGGTTGTTGAAGTGAATGGGGGTATATGCAAGGTACTCTAATGTCAAAGTAAGGTTCAGAGCAAAGAATGCAAGCACAAAGTGAGAGTGGGTAGAATTGAATATCTGACCCTCTAGTGAAAGAGGGTATTTATAGCCCACAGCACTGGGGCAAGGTCCCCATTTTAGGTCACATGCCCAGGCCCATAATGGAGACCGTCAGAATCCTACGTGGGTTGAGGAGATCAGTTCGTGATCTCTATCCTAGTGCAATTGCCCTGTGATTCTCGGAGGGTGGAAGACTGTCAGGATCCTACATGGATTGAGGAGACCATAATAGAGACTGTCGAACTAGGCAGGCCGGTTGTTAGGATCATACGTAGTATTGTCGAGACTTTAATTGTAGTACTGCTTTAGCTTCTCTGTGTTCCATGGTCGAGCAAGTTGTTCCTCAGCCAAATTTTCGAGATAATAGGCCCCTCCCTTTGTTTTTTCCCGGGCGCAGTAAAGGCCTTCCTAGCTCGCGGCGAGTTTTTCCTCACGCGAGTTTTTCTTATTTATTCGCAGAATTATGCTACTGACTTGGAACTCTCATTTTATGACTTTGGCATCGTAACGCAAAGTTATCTTTTATTTTAAAGTGGCCTTGCGGAGAGCTGCTCCTGCTCGAATTTCTTTGACCAGGTCGAGTTCCTCTCTCAAGGCCTCGTCGTTTATCTCCTCGTCAAGGGGGGATTCAGTTTGCCTGGACGACTCTCTGATTTTCACTGGGATCACCATCTCGGTTCCGTAGACTAGTCAGAAAGGAGTTCCCCTCGTGTTCGAGTGTGGTGTCATTCTATAGACCCGGAGAACACTATGTAGCTCCTCGATCCACCTATTCTTGGCCGCACCCAACTGTCATTCCAATCCTTGTAAGATCACTCAGCTTTCTCGTTTGTTTGAGGGTGCTCGGCAGATGTGAAATGTTGCTTAGTATCGAGTTTCGTAACAAAGTCTTGGAAGTTTTTGTCGTTGAATTGCATCCCTTTGTCGGTGACGAGTGCTTGGGGTATGCCAAAATGGGCAAGCACGTTCCTCTTATAGAAGCGTAATATGTTATGTGACGTGATTTTGGCGAGTGCTTCAGCCTCTATCCATTTTGTGAAGTAGTCGACAGCAATAATTAGATACTTGTTCTGGTAGGATCTCACGATGAATGAACCAAGGATGTCCATTCCCTACCAGGCGAATGACCGCGGGGACGATAGCGTCTTGAGCTCGTTGGGCGGCGCCAAGTGAATTTCTACGCATCATTGGCATTAATCGCTTTTCCTAACACGTTCCTTCCCATCATGATGCATGGTAGGACGGTAATATCCTGCTCAGAGAACTTTCCGTGCCAGGGATCTTCCTCCCATGTGTTGGGCGTTGATTTCTTAGTGGGTCTCCTGTAGAATATGGGGGACTTTGGCTTCCACGACACATTTTTAAAAAGTGGGATGGAGAATCTCCGTATGTAGAGCTCGTCTTTGATTAGGACATGCGACCAAGCCCTTCGTTTAGTTGTGTTGGCCTCTTTCTCATTAGGGGTAGTTCCCATGTGGTGAGGTAGCGGTACACCAGGGTCATCTAGCAGTTGTGGTCCTAGATGGCGTTTACGTCGAGCGTCACAGAAGGTTTTTTGATGCTCGGACGAGGGGGGATTTCTTGGATAAATGATTTGTTTCCACCTTTTTTCCTTGTGCTCGCCAGCTTCAACATGATATTTGCTCGGGTATTGTGCTCGCGAGGGATGTGCATGACTTCCACGAAAGCAAATTGTTTCATTTTTTCCTTAGATTTAAGTACTCGACGAGGTTGTCATTTTTGGCTTGATAATCTCCTCTTACCTGGATGGATTTTTTCGAGTACGGTGTTGCAAACTCGGAGAAGGCCTTGTACTTATCGGGATTGGCCTTGATTGCTCTCTCAGTTAAGTAGAAACCGAGGAATTTGCATGTTCGTGCGCCGAAAGTGCATTTCTCTGGATTGAACCTCATCATGTATTTCCTCGCCTGGTTAAAGACCTTTTTAAGGTGGGCAGTGTGGTTAGTCTCTTTTTAAGACTTCACGATCATATCGTCCATGTAGACTTCGAGCATATCCCCGATCTTTCCTTAGAAAACTCTTTTCATCATTCATTGATAAGTAGCATCAGCGTTCTTCACGCCAAAGGGAATTACGTTGTAGTAATAGTTGCTCGAATGGGCCATGAACGTGGTGCGCTGTTTGTCGCTCCTTTCCACGGGGATCTGATTGTAACCTGAATATGCATTCATGAATGATAAAAGTTTATAGCCGGTAGAGTTG